GCCCGAGCCTCCCCAGCCGAGGGCCGCAGACCGGCCAGGGCGCCACACCGCTGCTCCACGCTCCCCTCGGCCTGAGGGGCCTCGAGCCCCCCGCTCGCCTTCTGTGGAGCGGAGCTCCTCACTGGACCTAGCCTTGGCGCCGGCCGCGGGCGCGTCCCTTCACCCCGCAGGAGGGGCCTCGACGCAGCCCCAGTAGACACAGGCCTGCCCCCCAGCGCTCTGCCCGCTCCCGACACACATCTGACCCCCAACTTAGAGAGAGAAGACATGAGATCTAAAAAAGCAGACAACACAGAACTTACCCCAAAACTTGCTGCATTATTGCTCTGTTCTTGACAATGGGCAAAAAAATTAAGTAGACCTGATATGGTTGATGAAAATACGTAAGTAAACTTTATATAATATAAATATATAAATATATAAATATATAAATATCTATACTGTATAGGTAGTGTTTGTGTGTGAGAGACGTGCATTCAGTCCCCGTTAGCCACATAGACCTCCACCTCTCCCAGGAAGACAGACGTAGACCAGGTTGAGAATGGAGACCACACTCCTCTGCTAGAACAAATTCAGGTCGTCCATATCTCCATAGAAGCAGCGCCCCTCCAGGGCCAGCTGAACCCCGCACGACCAACCATTACCGTGCCAAGGAACGTAGCGCCCCCTGCAGGTCTAAAGACGCCCACAGCGCTTCGTGTGAATCCTTACTTACTGACAGTGCGATGCTAGGTGACCGGTGTTGTAACTGCAGGTGAGCAGCTGGGTCGGTCACCTCTGCCATCGCCACTTGGGACATTGGTCCCACAGATCCTTAGACACAACTGTGAATTCCATGTTCCACATTCCTCTTCTATGCACATGGAGAACCAAGCCCCAGCCCTCTGAGGGCTCTCATCCTCAACCCCATAACCCTGTCATCCCGTCCCAGCCACACAGGCAGGAGCCGAGTGTCCCGCGGGGGCTCTGCCCCTGCAGGGTGGTGTGCACGCTGGCCAGCCCAGGCTGTGTGTCCCCCGTGTTGTGCGCTGAGTGGCAGCCGTGTGCTCGCGACCCCGTCATCACCGCGGCCACCCTGGCGACCCTGGCCAGGCAGAGCCTCCGCCACCCCTCACGGCCCCCGAGCTGCCGGGCCCCATGCCCCTGCGTGTCTTGTCGCTTCTGTGTGTGACGCCATGCGCTCCCCGGGGCTGCCCGCTGCCCGCGTCCGCTCCAGTCACCCATGGCCGTACTTTGCAGTTTCAGCCTTTCCAGCCACTGCAGCCTCCCGTGCCGTGCTCCTAAGCCTGGGACCCGAGGACTACCCACGGCCCTGCCCAGGCGGGGGCCGCTCCTTCAGAAAGGCCGCCGCCGCCGCCGCCTGACCCCGAAGCCCGCTCTGGCCTTGTCCCCCGGCCGGGGTCGCCAGCTTCCCTCCTTCCCCTCATGCCATGGAGGTCACGAACCAGCAGATCTGCAAGCTCAGCACTTTGTTAGCACAGAGCGCACGCCCAGCGGCCGGAGGCGGCGTCCCACCCACCCCCGCTCCAGTCCTCTCTGGCACCCGCGCAGAGAGCGGGCGGCGGCGTGGGTGCACGCAGTCCGCCCGGTGTGTCCCTCGCAGACGGGAGGCCTTGTGCATGCCGTCAGCACCAGCCGCAAGCCTGTGCTCTGTATTGTACATTTGCAAAAATACCAGTGTTACTGTTGACAAATAGTTGAAGTAAAGTGATAACATATTAAGTATGTCGGCTTCTCTTCACCTTCTCTGTACAAGGGTCGGGTCAACCTGTGAGCAGTGGTTGTTCCAGCAAACACAGCTGTCGGCCTCAGGGTTGCTCTTTCTGAAATGGCAGCATCGCTCCCAATGCACGCATGCCAGGGTCAGGCCGGGACCCGTGCGTCCCGGGTCAGGATCCCGCCAGCCCTGCCGCCACCCGGAGCTCCGCCCCAGCTGGGCTGCATCGCAGGTGGTGGGCAGGGGCCAGGAACAGGCTCCGAGAAGCCCCGCAGGGTGGGGAGGCTGGGACAGTAGGCCCTCCCTTGGCAAGCGGAGCAGTGTCCCGCAGGGCTGCTGCTGGTTGAGGGTGTGGAGCTTGGCAAGCATGGCTGCTGGTGCCTGAGGTCACCCAGAGGGAGAGCCGGTGATGGCCGGCGCCCTCGGGAGGGCAGCTGCCAACATCATAGGTCTTTCCTGGAACAATAGGGAAATCATAGATTTGTATTTTTCATTTCCACATGAGTTGCCTCAGTGCTCCAGCCATGGCTCGAGACCCTTTCCAGCACAAGGTGGCAGGAAGGCATCCTCGTGACAGCTGGCCCCTCGCCAGTGTGAAGCACCATCACCCTTCCGCCCGAAGGCCCCAGGACAACAACAAATTCCACCACAGTGGTGGAGATGAAGACAGCTGGGCACGTGGGGGTGAAGGAAGGTGCAGGCGGGCGGGAAGTGGGGGACTGAAGGGGAGAAGGAAGCCAGAGGGGAGGAAGGAGAGTGAGGAATGAAGAGGGGCAGAGGGAATGAAGAGTAGACGGAGAAAAGGGATGGCAGAAGGACAGTAGGGGAAAGGGGGTGATCCCCGGCACGCAGCCTCTGCGAGGGGGTGCTCACACGTCTCAGGAGACTGCTCAGCCCTGCAGGCTCCGCGCCCCTCCCATCTGGAGGCTCTGGAACACCAAGTTCAAGTCCACAGCCTGCTTCCTGCTCCTCCCAGCCACAGGAGCAGCTCACCTGAGCTCACACCACATCCGCTGCAGCCCCTCTGGCTCACATGGAAAGAGGGAAAGCCCAGACATTGCTGGGCTCCCGGGCCTGCACTGGTGCCCTGAAGGAAGCTATGTGGTAGCAGGAGATAGCTGCTCTCCAAGCTCTGCAGCCCTGGACCTCAGCTGTCCACACCCACATTGTCCAGGACACAGCTGTGGCTACTCTCCCTCCAAGGCTTCAGCTCCAGCTCTGGGTATGCTCGGGGCTGGCGGCCCTGTTACCAGCTTACCTTCCACCATGAGCAGCTCAGCCCACTCTACCCAGGCAAAAGTCCCGAGTTACGCAGTAGACCATGGTCTACTGTGCTGCCGCCATGCCGTACCCAGAGTGAGAGCCTACAAAGGTGGTCATGGGTGGCCAGATGCTCCCACCGGGGTGTCACATTTCCAGCCTCTTGAAGCCACAGCCAGAGCGGCTGACCGCATATGAAAGGGGTGGGACTTCCCAGGGAGAAGACCCCAGAGCCTCCAGGCTCCTCACCCCTGGGCGGCGGCTGCAGGCCGGCTGGGCTTGTCAAGGAGGAAGGGAAGGTAGTTCTCTGGAGGGGCTGCGTCCACTTTGGCCTCTCCTGACTGATAACCAGGACCATCTGAGTCACTCCCTCTCCCTCAGCCCAGAACTCAAGTGAATCTGGTTACGTCCCATTCAGCCTTGGGCCAGCTTCGGTGCCATTTCCTGATGAAAATTCTCTCCTGGACCTCAGCCACACCTTCACTTCATGGACCACTGAGTGTGAGCCAGACTGCTCAGGTCTCCCCTCACTAACCACAGGCGAGGCTCCACATCCAAACACCAGGGCAGTACTGTGATTAAGGCTGTGGAGAGGCCCCTGGAAACAGCTCGCATGGCCTAGCGCTTCTCACTGTCGGGGAGAAGCCCAGTTGCTCGTCTGCTGCAGGTCTGAGCACAACAGGGCGTGTGGTCCTGTGTGCCAGCGGCTGCTGACTCCCCAGCACAGCTCGTAGGCAGGATGAGTGCAGAGCCAGTGCATCCAGGAGCCAGCCTGGGGTCCAGCACAGTTGTACTGGACATTTGCCACTCCCAACTGTACTGGCTCTGTGTCAAGGAGGTTTGGCCCAAGCAAGACGCTGGCAGAAAGTGCCAATGGGCAAAGGCTAGAGTTGTGGCTGCTTTGGACAGGCCCGGGCAGAGTGGCTGCATTTGCTGGTGGCAACCCCAATACCAACTGCTGTCCAGGTGCCTACTGGGAATGGTACCCTAGGCCTGCCCAGGGGCTCCAGCACACCTGGACTCCCCCAAGGACACTACCACACGGTGCCACTCTCTCAGAGGAAGTTACTCAGCTAATGTCGTTAGCTGTGTTAATAAGAAACAGGAAGCAAAGAAGAAGCATGACATGCATTCAGACAGCATGCTGTACTTCATAAACATGTCAATACTCTGTGTCAGGTAGAGATTCCCCTCTGAGAGCCACCCATGGGCCCTAACAAGACCCCTGGGGGCTTGAGTGCACCTAGGCTGGGGACCTGGGAGGACACTGCTCTAAAGGAGAGCCAGACGCTATTTATTCTCTTTCTTATTTATTTTATTTGCTGTGTAGTCTTAGCTGGCCTCAAACCCACAATTCTCCAGCCTCAGCCTCCTGAGAGCTGGAATAATGGAATAATGGAGTACACCTCCACACACGCTGCCAAAGACTTTTCTCAGAGACTCCAAGTCTGGAGGTCACATTAACTACCTTTAAAGGATCTGAGGAGTCATGTACAATATCACCTATATTTTATTTTATACTTCTCTGGAAATGGAACTCTAAACAGAGGTTTTACTTTTTTAAAAAACAACAACAAAGAAAGAAAAAGGAAAACAAAAGCAAGCAGAGGCCAAGCGGAATGCTGGGAGCCGGGTCTGTGGGCACGGGGGGGGGCCGCGCTCACAGGGGCGCTGCAGTGGGGTCCGTGGGGTGCAGGGCAGCGCCAGGGCGCTGCCTCCTCTTGTTTCACCCCAGCGTGGTGCGTGCCAGAATAAACACCCCAGAGCACAGGCTGCGCCTCCAGCCAGACCTGCCCGCACTGCACACACGCAGCCCTCCCACCAGCCTGACTCCCACTCCCACCTCTGTGGGCCAGGCTCCTGGCCCAGGGTTCTACCTCAGCTCAGCTAGAGCTGCAGTGCCACCGTGCAAGCGAGCGAGCGAGCCTCCTTCTCGGCTGACCAGAGGCCACTGCAGGGCCAGGCCCATCCCGTAGGGGAGACCAGGCCGCTGGCCCCGTTGGTGTAAGGGAAATGGCCACTGCGCACATGGAGGTGACCAGGCCTCATCAGGGTGGCCCAGAGGCCAGTTCTGAGAGGCCACTCAGCTCTACTTTGCTTCTCAGTAGCCAGTCCAGAAAGAAGCAGAGAGCCAGAAGGCCAGTGCCCAGCAGGTCCCCCAGTCCCGTGAGGTAGGGGATGCAGTGGTTGTCAGGGTCCAGGGCCTGGTGCCAGGCCAGCCGAACCATCACCTCTGCCAGGTACAGCAGGATGGTCACCTGTCAGAACAGCAAGCACACATCAAAACCAAGTTAGAGTCTGCAAACAGCCAAGAAACACCAGCTGGTTTTCACAGGCAGGAGCCAAGACAGATGTCAAGCCCAGCCTAGGGCCAGAACTAAGTGAGGCAGACCCCTGCTCTCTCAGCCATGAGCAACACAGAACAGTCAAGACCCAGAACTGACTCACTGCTCAGGCCTGCTGAACTGTGCCCAGGCAGGCTCTGGCTCAACCTCCTTCACCCTAGAGATGATCTCAGGCTGGTAAGTGTGCAGCACAGAGTGCATTGAGTAGTGTGATGTATGCAGTGAGTAGTGACATGTACAGTGTGTGGTATACAGTGATCACATGCAGTGTGGATATTATAAAGTATGCAGTGTGAAAGATAGGTGGGTGATGTATGAGGTGATCACATGCAGTGTGCAGCTCCCAGTGTGCAATGTGAATGTATGTAGAGTTCATGTGCCGTGCACAGCTCTCAGTGTGAGGGGTACAATGAGGGGTGTCGTGTGAGGTGTGCAGTATGAAGGATGTAGTGTGAGGGGCGCAGTGTGAGGGGTGCAGTGTGAGGGGCGCAGTGTGAGGGGTGCAGTGTGAGGGGCGCAGTGTGAGGGGCGCAGTGTGAGGTGCAGTGTGAGGGGCGCAGTGTGAGGTGCAGTGTGAGGGGTGCAGTGTGATGCGCAGTGTGAGGGGTGCAGTGTGAGGGGTGCAGTGTGATGCGCAGTGTGAGGGGTGCAGTGTGAGGTGCAGTGTGAGGGGTGCAGTGTGATGCGCAGTGTGAGGGGTGCAGTGTGAGGGGCGCAGTGTGAGGGGCGCAGTGTGAGGGGTGCAGTGTGAGGGGCGCAGTGTGAGGGGTGCAGTGTGAGGGGCGCAGTGTGAGGGGTGCAGTGAGGTGCAGTGTGAGGGGTGC